TTTTTTAGGCCTCCTCTCAAGCTTTGTCTGTGTGAGCTGTGAGGATCAAACTGCCACAATAAAGCCTGCTTGTAATCCTAGAAAAGTAGCAGTTTTGGCCAAAATTTTGGTCAAAAATTATTCATTTCATAATGTTTCTGAATGTATTGCCAGGCAGTCACCATATGTAGCAATATAGTCGCAACACTGTTTTGTCCATATTTTTGGACAAAATAATAAAACTAATAATTTAAGCCTAGGGTTGAAATACAGCTTGTAAAGTGTTTTTCAGCATTTTCAGCAGACTATGTTGGACATTGGCCGGGAATCGAACCCAGGCCATTGTTGCTGTGAGGCAACAGCGCTACCCACTGTGCCACAGTGCCGCCCCGACAAAAATGTATTTGTGGATAATGAAAAAAATCATCTTACTTAAAAAACCTACATTGTTAAGCATCCTAGCTAAAGTATACTTACATGGCGGACAAGTATTTTTCTTTTTTGTCATTTATATCTTACCTCTGATGACGCAGATCATCAGGCAAGGACAATGCAACTCTTTTCTTTATCTCGGTTGGCTGACATTTTATATTTGGGTTTGGAAATGAGTGTCTTCTACTATGTCGAAGTATCAGTTCCCACTTTTGCAGATGCCCCATGCACATCTTTTGAATTTCTAGAACTTTAAATTCAATGTACGTTCAAAGGAACACTAGCTCACTACTAAAAACCTGAAAGCTTGACTGATGTACTGGAGACTAGTGAAACTGTTGCTAAGCACTGATTGGAGAAGAAAATGAAGTGGAGCATTCAGACTATGATGGGCTATATTAAACGTGTCAGGAAACCAGCTGAGTGCTTATAAATGCAAAAAAATCCACTTGTCTCCAAATTATCGATGTTTGTCTTATCTTTCTCTTTGCCGTTTCGTTAGCTACAGTGGAGCCTCCACTGTAACAAGAATCCACAAGCTGTATGAATGAGAGCAAAAGACAACAATCCATCTCTGGATGGAAAGATGCTAAAATAGTTTTGTTTGTAATGATGACACCTACATAATGTAAAGACTCTATACCTATACATTCTGTTAAAGGTGTTGCCTAGAACAGTTTAGGAACCTTTATCTTTAATGATGAACTTAGGAGAATTGAAGTATTTGCCCATGCAAACAGCGTCTTGCTCAGGGTTTTTGGAGATTTCTCCTCCTGAAGGTGATTGGTGGTGAACCCTTTAATATGAGGATGCATTATTCATTTGGAATAAAGAATTCTCAGGGGGGCGTTGCCATCTTGTCAGGTCAGGCTGCTATCAAAGCGTCTCAGCGCTGAGTCTTCATCTCTATGTGAATTCTCGTTGTCTGTAAGTGATGATGAAAGAACTCTAGCATTCCTGAAAGCATCAAACGGTTCTCCTCTCAGAGCAGCAGTGCAGGATCAGACAGGAGAACCCGAGTGTAACTGAGCCCCACAACACAACCGTCTCCACCCCCTCCTACTCTCTATTTATTTTTCTATCTGTCCATCTCCCCTCTCTCTCTCCCCCTTTGTTTTTACTATTGTTCTCACTCTCTCTCTCTGTCTCTTTCTCACTCTCTTCTCTTTTTATATGTATTCTATCTCTCTCCCTCTCTCCCCTTCTCTCTCCCTCCCCCTTTCTCTGTCTCTCTTGCTCTCCCTTACCCTCTCTATGTTTTTCTTTCTTTTTCATTCTTTCTTTTCCCTCTCTCTTGTCTTTCTTTCTTTCCCTCATTCTCTTTGTATCTCTTTCTCTATCTCACTCTCTTCCTCTCTCCCTTTTTCTTTCTTTCTGTCCTTCTCCCTCCTATCTCTCTCTCTTGCTCCCACTGTACTTTTTCTCATTCTTTCTTTCTTCCCCTCTCTCTTGTCTCTCTATCTTTCTTTCCCCGTTTCTTTCTCTCTCTCTTTTCTATCTCTTTCTCGTCCTCTCTCTTCCCTCTCTTTCCCCCTCTCTCTCTCTCTCTCTCTCTCTCTCTCTCTCTCTCTCTCTCTCCTTCTCTCTTCCCCATTAGTTAAAGGTAAATAAGCTGAAAGCAATTTAATTTTGTCACATTATCCCGCCGACTACGCCAACGCGCCAGGCTGCTTGTCAGAGGTCCTCAGAGACCCAATGGTGAGAATTAGATCATGTCTGGACGGGGCTGTTAAAAATAAGGTGGGAGGGGGACAATATTCTGGACAATTTAGCCGCCCTGAGCACACCTGGGAGCGTGAGGAATAAACAGCCTCACATTTATCAATCCGACACATCAGCAGAACAAATTAGCGGAGAGATGTGACGGAGTGAAGCGCATTGTGTCGGGGTCTTCTCCTTGCTCTCCCTCCGCAGCTGATTTGTATTCATGATGCTCCTCAGCGATGAGAGTGGCTCTTTCGCTCACAAAAGAGATGAACGCGAGCGAAGAGTCGTATCTTTAAGCCCAAAAAGTAATTTGCCGGAAATTATTCTTTTTAATACCAGGGCCGAGACGTCTCAAGCTAATTAGGAGTGCCAGGGAATCAGTAACGACGGGGTAATTAATGCTGTCAGGAAATGAAGGAGCTCTGTATGTGTTTTCAAGTAAACAGACCCAGTCGTGCTGTTATGCACGCGTCCCTAAGAATCACACAGATTCATTTCCACATGAATAAAATATTTTACATCAACACAACTGCTGCTGATCTACACCGCCAGTCAAAAAGAACTGCTCGCATGCACATACAGTACTGTGTCAGAGACCCCCACCCTCATTTATTTAAATTCCAGTCACAATTACCAGTGTTTATTGTTCAGTGTTTTACCTTTATTACAGCGTCCATTCTTTTCAGGAGACTAGCTTTCATTTTTTCAAAGAAATCTCCAAAGTTCAGTCTTAGAAGTTGGTTTTGCATTTTCTTCTCACAATCCAAATAATCCCAATAACACATTCAGTGATGTTGAGGTCTGGACTCTGGGGTGGTCAGTCCACTGTTCTGAGAACACCAGCAGCTTCTTTGTGTGATGTATCTGTTTCCTTTTCTCAGTAAGGGCTTCTTAACAGCTACACATCCTTTCAGACTCATAGTGTTGAGTTGTCTTCTCACAGTGGAAGGATGGCTGTGGATTTTTTCAGATCTTAAGTAAGAGTGGTACTTGATTTTCTCCTTTCTCTCAAAGATGCAAGCTTTAAGTGCTGTTTTGGTGGTCTACAATGTCTTGCAGGTGGCTGTTTTCATTTTCTCTGTAGCTTTTAATGTTTTTGAACTCATCCCCACAGTGAAGTATGGTGGTGGATCTGTGATGCTGTGGGGCTGTTTTCTTCCAGCGTCCCGGGACAATTTATTTGGATACATATGGCATCACAGACTCAAATAAGTACTAGCACATATTGAATCAAAACCTGACTGCCTCCAGCAAGGAAGCTTAAGCTGGGCCATAGTTTGGATCTTCTAGCAGGACAATGATTCAAAGCTAATCTCAAAATCAACACAAAAATGATTCACTGACTGCAGAATTAAGGCTTTACTATGGCTACCCCAGTCCTCTGACCTAAACCCCATAGAAAACCTGTGGGATGAGCTGAAGAGGAGAGAGTCCACAAGCATTGACTTTGGAATCTGAAGGATCTGGAGAGATTCTATATGGAGGAATGGTCTCAGATCCTTTGCCATGTGTTTTCCAGTCTCATTAAGCATTATAGGAGAAGATTCAGAGCTGTTATCTTTGTAAGGGGAGGCTGCAAGTGTTAAGTAAAGGGGTGCCAGTAATTGTGGCACACACAGATTTGAGAAAAATATTTATTTCCTGGTAATATTTAGGGTTTTTAATCATTGTACTTGATGAACATGGTTAGAGTTTTTAAATATTTTGAATGAAAGATCAAAAGGATCAGCAATACATGTTTTTACAGTCTTTTAGAGTCCTTTTGCTCATTTTAACAGGGGTGCCAATATTTGTGGAGGGCATTGTAAATGATGTCATTTTGTTTTATTCTTCTTTTGTAAAGCACTTTGATCTGCATCTTTGTTTGAAATGTGATAACAGTAGTTTCAGAGCAACACAAGATTTATTTCATTTTTTGTTCTAAGCCAATATTAAACAATGTAAATTAAGATTTATCCTGCAGATGGCGCCAGAAGGCAGCAGCAAAATTAATTTCTGCAAGTCGGCCACCAGAGGGAGACGATTCACAGTACATTGGTTTCTAGAATATTGCTGCATGTCATTTTAACCCCTTAGATTCTAAATACCGGTGTCTTAGACATGAACCAGTCCTTGTTTTGAACTATGAAATGTCACTGGCCACTTTACTAGAAACACCTACCTTATACTTCTATTCACTGGCCACTTTATTAGAAACACCAATCTCATACTTCCATTAACTGGCCACTTTATTAGAAACACCAATCTCATACTTCCATTAACTGCCACTTTATTAGAAACACCTACCTTGTACTTACACTCACTGTCACCACTAGGTTGAGAAGTCCACCACACAAAAATATTCAGCCAAGAGCTGCTCTTTGCCATTGATTTCCTTTGTAAATCACTTTATAATTTGCCCCTAAACCACCGCTATTAAAGATGGTAATTTAGCATTGTGTTCTATTAGCACCCAGTTGGCGGTGGTGTTATGTTTCTTACACTGCCTTTAATGTTACTTATTAAACACTTACTAAGTGGAAGAGGGAAAAGGGGGAAAAACATGAGTTTCACAGGTAAATCTGGAGAATTCACAGCTATGGTTGCACTTTTACAGTCAAGTAAAAACTTGAGCTTAAATGGGAAATTCTATGATGTTTCATAATTTCTGCATAATTCAATTGTAAAGATGTAAACTAAGTCCTTCAGAGTGGTTTGATGCAAAATGCTCAGTCAGAATTGCTCTGTGGTTCAAACTGAAATTCTCAAGGAGTGAAAATGTTTTTCTCTGCTTTGTCTACTGTGAACTTTGGATTGTAACCATTTCTACACGTTGATTTTCCTTCAGATTATAATTATAATAAACAGCCTGTAATATGTGTCTGTGTTTTTTTTTCTCATAGCTGGACCACTATCCCTCAGTCAGCTACACTCTGCCTGAAGCCTCAGACATTCAGTTCAACCTGGTCAAGACACTATTCCTAGGAAAAGTCTTTGGTAAGTAATATCTGTTTTTTGTCAGTGATAGAATGTGTAGGAAGCAAATCAAAGGAATATCTTCTTCATCTGTCAGTCTTTCAGTTTATATTTGCCCAGAATTATTTAGCGTCGTCTGGCTGTTTGTAATGCATTGCTTTAGCCACTAGGTGGTGTTAGGACACTGCTGTGTGCTCAGAGTGGCTGTGGTTTGAGCTGTAATCATATTTTGGAGCTTCTTGGTCAGTTTCTTTCAGAATGGGTTGTCCTTGGGGATAAACGTGTTGCTTTTTCAAGTAGAAATTTCATTCAGAATAAGCTTTATCGAGTTATTTTGGACCAATTAACCTATTACTCAGATTTTTAGGCTGTAAACACAGCCATGCGATAAATGCAACTTGCTAACATAATTCATCATCCCAAAACCCACCTTTCTAAAGGGTTAGTCTTAAATCTGCTGGTCTGCAGGCCCCTGACCTTCACAGTTATGACCGAGACATCACGGCGTGCAGTGGTCTCTCTGGGTCCCTGGAGTTTTCTCTTTGATTCATTGCTGACTGCTTGCGCTCTGATACACTGCCCTACCTGTCACTTCCATGATTTACGCCTGAGTGTCTTGAGCACATAAATAAAACATGCTCCCTCCAGCACGCTGTGTCAGATGACGTCCATGCAGCTTTCAGTAATTGCACAGCTGCTGAAACACGACTGCAGGATGGACACTGGTCATCTTGCTAACCTGTGGCTAAAGGTCAAGTGTACTGAGCTTTTTCAGAGGAATTGTGTTAAAGAGCCTATATCCTACATTTTTCTTGTATTTTATATTCCCTGCTGAGGTCTACTTATAACATTTGTGTGCTTTTATATACCAAAAACAGTCATAATTCATTTTTAGTTCCATTTTCCAGTTTCTCTTAACCTTAGACTCTTTATAACTTCAGGAAAAGGGGCCGGGCTAAACAGTTTTAGTCTGAATAGGCGGATATAAACGTAAATGTGTTGTTTCGGTGACATCACAAATACAATGGCTTCTAAACAGGCTGTTTTTGCAGTTTAGTTTTCATATGTGGACTGCATGGACTGAGAAGTGAACAGTGTATTTTGAAACTTTAACAACATTAATGCATTAAATCAACCTTTTATTGAAAAATAAAGAAGCAAGGAAAATTCCTTTTTTTTTCATTAAATTGTTTCATTATATCAGGCCTTTAATGCAAATGCTTTTATGCTTTTAATGTGCATTTTTTAATGTTGATGCTACATCACTTAAAACAGCCTGCAATATTTGCATGAGCTCTTTGAATAGAAAGAAGACAACATCTACTATGATGATGATCTTCAACAGCCACATGCAGATATTTATAAATTCAGATCTGAATGATAAATTCCTTTTATAGATCAAACTGGCATTACAGCTTTAGAGATTCATGTAGATGAGCTAGATTAGGCATATCGCTAATATTTCATACTTCAGCAAATTCAAAACTTTCCAATGGCCAAAGTAAGCCAGTGTTGTACCTTGTAAATTACTTTAAATTTGAATTTAATTGAATTCAGAACCATCAGCCACCTGTGTTTGCACACTGTGGAATTAGACCTCTGCATTTAACCCATCCGTGCAGTGAAACACCCACATACATACACACTAGTGAGTACACACACTCGGGGGCAGTGAGCACTCTTGCCTGGAGTGGTGGGCAGCCCTATCCACGGGGCCCACTTGCCTGGAGTGGTGGGCACACTTGCCTGGAGTGGTGGGCAGCCCTATCCACGGGGCCCGGGGAGCAATTGGGGGTTAGGTGCCTTGCACTTGCGCACTTCAGTCATGGACTGTCAGCCAAGGGGATCAAACTGGCAACCTTCCGGTCACAGGGCTGGTTCCCTAACCTCCAGCCCACGACTGCCCCCTGAAATTTGTTGAAATCGTGACCCCTGCTTCCTATCACAGCCACTGTTTCTCTGCAGTGAAGCTATTCGCATCAAACCACTCTGAATGACTTTATTTACGTCTTAATGACTGAGTAGGCATTTAGAAAAGTTGGTGGAATTCTCCTTTAAAGCCTGTTTCTATTCACAGTTTAATTGAACAGTTTGAAATAACTTTCTTTTTAGATGAAACAGAATGGAATCCTTTCTTGCACTGCACATATGGAACTTCTTACCTTTTTCATTTAAAACAAATTATTTTTTTTTAATTATTCAAAGTACTTTAGACAAGCTGAATTTGGGGGGGACTGTAGCAGTGAGGCCTACAACAGTGTCCTCCGCTTCAGTGAAAGCTGCATGTTTTACTAAATCATGTCATATGAGTGGTTCTCTCTGTGAGAGAACATCAGTCATCCTGTCTGTTTTTGTGTTCTCTAATAAGACAGCTTTAGGGCTCCAGATCATCTGATGAATTTCTGCTCTGCTGTAATCAGATCAATAACGTTTTATGATCCGAACTCTAAAGGGGGCTTTTGTGAGATGAATAGCTTCTCCTCTCACTGTGTGTCCTGCTCGTCCTCACATCCTATCAGATAACGCTCGGATAACATTCAGATGCTTGTCAGGATGCCAGTTAGCTGAAGCGATGCGAATCTAGAACAACTTCAAGGTCATTCTTCCCTTTTTTATCGCCACAAGACCGTAGAGGTGGGACAGGAAACATCATGTGTGTCTGCAGATAGTCGTTATGCAGATGAAAATGTCCCTGATTTCCCCTCTTCTGCCAAATCTGGTCAATCAGCTAAGACTTGTTTGGTATCTGAAGCTTCCTTCTTTAGATTTGCACTGAAGCTATGATGCTAATGTTGCTAACAAATAATGGCTTACAGGGCTGTGCAGAGACTCTTGGAGGGGCATGAGCTTAAAGGGGCACTGTGTGAGATTTTTCTGTTAGAACTGTTGCAGGCTAAAATGTCGTCACCCTGTAAAGCTTGAGTTTTTCAGACCATGTGATACGTCTTTACATATTAATATCACAAACACAGGCACAAAAATAAGGACCGGCTTGATGTTTGCGTCCCAAATCAACGTTATACTGATGTTTTCACTAAGTTCTCTGAATGGTCATTCAGTGCACTACAGTTGTTAGATTCATCCACTCAGGGAAAGGGTCCTTGAGGCAGTGTTCTTATCTAAAGTGAGGTAAGGAGTAACTGTGGGTAGCTAATTTACATATAAATGTTAAGCTTATTTGCAGGAACAGTGGATTTTCATTTAATTTTATGCACTTAATAGAAAAGAAAATTTCATCATAGTCCATAATCAAGTACTTCAAGCGTTAACATCGTCCCATTGGTTAGGACTTCAGGACTGAAGGCCTTACATGGTAGATTAACTACCAACATAATTACGAATCAGCTAATCCTGTCTTGATTTACAATGTGACCAATTTAGATAGTAAAACATCACCCTAGACATTCTGGAAATTTTAGATACGTCTCTGACTATTAATACGAGTTGTAGTCTAACCTGGTTTCAGTTAGTTCTTAGGAATGGAAAACAGTGCTGGCAGCTCTGTGCCAAGACTCTTTACTGAAAGTCACTGTAAAACTCATACATTTAAGCTTGAATATATGTTAAAGTACAAACTTATCTGTGTTTCATCTAGAGCAGCCAAAAAATGTTTACTTGCATTACCCTTAGCTTAGCACTAGATCATAGAACTAGAATTCCATAGAAATTAACTTTATTCTAGAGGTGTGTTTTTCCCACTTTACAACTTTTTTTATTATACATGCAGTTGTTCAGTGCTCTAGAAGTGCTGACAATATCAATGATCTACTCAGAAAAGTGTATCTGGATGTAATTGGTCACATTATCAGAAACGCCTATTAATACATATTATTATAAAATGGATAGTTCTGGTCCTAAAATCTGATTGGCTGAGCCGCATTCAAAGCCGTTGTAAAAACCAAGATATACACACACCTATGACCGCCTCACAGCTACTGAATAGTATATTACTGAGCCACGGCATGAAAAAAACCCTTATGCTGTTAATAGAATAATCTTTGACTCTCGTGTTGCTCACATGGACCACCGAGTATACTGATGAAGTAAGAACCCATTTTTTGTTTAAACTGAGGCCCTGGCGACTTATGTTCTTAACTAGAACATGGGTGGTCAGCTAGCTTTCAGGCTAAAAGATAGTTGACAGCCTAAACAACTCCATCATCAATATCACAGGCTTGAATTAAAGTACTTACGGTATGATTAACTCTAAAACTGCAGTATATAAATAAAAAAAATGTCACTTGAATGTCTTACACCCTTTAAACGTTCATGTTTCAGTCAGACGTAGCATCAAACCCAGGCTGAATCCCAAACGGCTCCATATTTCCTAAATAGTGTGCAAGCTATGACAGTTTAGCAATTCTAGCCTCTACAGCTAAATAGTACACCACTTATCGAGTACGGATGTGGCTGAGTTCCGCTATTTCTTAGCTATATTTTGCACTGTTGGGCTGCAAATGTTTTTGCATTAAACTGTGCTGTGTTATCATATGTTCATTGTTAGACTGCAGAAAGTTTAAAAATTCATGAAATGACTGCAATATACAGTGATGGATGACCGAAAGTTCTCCTCATTCAGCGGTCCATGGTTGCTTGCCAATGATACCATAGTCTAAAAGAACTACACTGTTTATGGTGGAATACTTGTTTATGTTGACTATTATTAATAATAACTTACATTATTTTCTGAAAAATTGTGTATTGTATCATAATTCACATTGGCTGCCGTTTTATAAAAGCAATAAGCCACTTCAGGCTGTGCATTACTGCGATTTCACAGGGAAGAAAACACCCTTCCCATGATAAAATCACACAGCCTCTCGTGGCTTATTGCTTTAATATATATTGTATATTACAGATAGACTGTAATATCTGCCACAGAGGGTCAGTGAGTTCACAGAGTTTTTACACACAGTCCAGTAAATCCCTGAAACAGAGCTCATTATTCAGTCTCTGTGTAGGTTCAGCCTCTGTGGAGGGTATAAAATACCCATTGGGAAGATAGCAGTCAATAGCACAGG